AAAAAAAAAAAAAAAAAGAGCATACAAGTAACAAGAGTACATTGTCTTTTCTTTTTTTTTGTGAGATGAAGTTTTTCTGTGGCCTTCGCACTTTCTGGGTCTGTGGGTATCAGTCTCTGCCTAGGAAGATTGTCACGCCCAGCCGTGCAACCGGGGTACCCGGGGGTGTTTTTTTTTTTGTTTTTGTTTTGTGTGCTCTCCCAGAGGACCCCGAATCCGGTCTCTTTTCTTGTTTTGAGACTTGGCTGTCAAAAGGTGGGAAGGGGGGTATAAATTGGTTTTGAACTTTACAGGGGTGAGAAGGGGTTTGAAGAGGGGTGCCTTAATGTGATTCTGTTATTTTCTTTTTTATCTCCGATTCTGTGAGGAGTTCTGATGTCACCCTCAGCCGAAAGTCGTTTGTATTGCAATTCTACACGACCTATTTTTTGTCCGGATTTTTTTTTTTTTTTTTTTTTTTCCGGGCGCTGGGGCTGCCCGGAACCCTGCCCGGCCAGGCACCTGGGCGTGTTTCCGGGCACCCAGCACCGGGCGCCCTGGAAAACGTTTTTTTTTTTTTTCTTCTGTGAGATTAAGTTCTCTGTGGTCTTTCCACTTTCTTGGTGTCTGGTTTAACGGTCTCGGCTGTAGAATTTTATTTTCTATTAAAAAAAAGTAGTTTCAAACATACTTGCAAGCGGACGCCGTCCGGGCGGTTCCGCATGTGCGGCAGACCGCGGGACCGGACCTGCGCGGTGCACGAATGTGCGCCCGACGACCAGTTACGCGCCCCCCCCCCCCCCCCCCCCCCCCAAAAAAAAAAAAAAAAAAAAACAACGGCCCCGTCCGGTCGGGGGGGAGGGTGCCGCACACGGCGAAGCGGTCATGGAACACAAATTTGTAACATGTGTTTTAACAGTTCGTGGGTGTACTAACCGAGTTAGGGCCGCACAGCATTTTCATATTCAGTACCTGTGGACATGCAGGCCCGCTCTCTCACATCGGCCCAGTACAATGAGCTCACAGCGGATCCCACCCACTAGCTGCATAGACGCAGACTCACTCCGCGTCTGACCTGGGCCTACAGCGGATTCCAGCCGATAGCTCCATAGGCATAGAGTGAGTCTGCGACTAACCTGGGCCCACAGCAGATCCCAGCCACTAGCTCCATAGGCATAGAGTGAGCATTAGCGAGCATCGTTTCTCTCTGCTACTTTGCCTCCTGCGAGCCACACCTTAGTGAATTTTGCCTCGATTCTTCTCCGTTTCTCGTCGTCATCTGGCATACTTACAAAGCTTTTCTGCCGAATCCCAGCAATTTTGAGAAATGGGCCTATTAATAAGTCTGGCCATCGTCCATTGGGACATCCGTTAAAATTGGAACGATACAGAGAAGATCAATTAGCATGGGCCCTGCGCAAAAAAAAATAAAAAAAATAAAAAAAATTGGGCATGCCATGGCCCAGCCTATATAAGGTAGAGAGTCTAGAGACTATCCTGGGGCAGTTTGGAGGCCTGGAAATCATTGTAGTGCAGGCGTACAGTGCGTCTGGGACTGACCTCGTCTGTTTACAAGGGGATGGAGCTGTCCCCTTCCGCCCTCGAACATCGCACCCCACGTCAAGCAGCTGCAGGCACAGAACACGTGGGCAACCAACGTGGTCCACCTTACAAAAGGCGGCGGTAATCGCTCTGGGACCACGCAAGCAGCAGGCTGGAACTGACCAGGCGGAGTACTGAGTATCGGACAAGTGCGAAACTGACCTGGGCCATGTAAGAAGGGGCTAGAACGGTCAAGATTCTCGTCCAGCTCACAACGCCATGACTGTCCAGTACCAGCTGGGACGGAGGAAACTCGCCTGGTCGGAAACGGCTGGTCGACAAAAGGCTGGAACCACTTATGTTCAGGTACAGCTGACAAGGCTGGCTGGAAGTATGCCCGACCGACCGGCTTGGAGGGTTTGAAGTTGGAACTCATCAGGTTGGTAATTGTCCTGGGACCAACTAGGCAGGCTGGGACTGACCGGGCGGGGCGGCGTATCTGATAAGTGCGAACTGACGTGGTCCATGGAACAAGAAGGCGGGGACATGGGACATTCTCCTTTCTGCTCCAGCCTACAACACCACCACCGCAACTGTCCAGTACCAGCTTGGATGGGCCTGGTCCCAGGCTGGGACTGACCGGGTGGCTTGTAGGCTGAAGCTTTTAAGGCGAGTTCGAGCCCAGGGCATCGTTGGTCCTGGGACAGTTGTGGTGTTGTGGGTCCACCTTTTAAGGCGAGTTCGAGCCCAGGGCATGGTTGGTTGGTCCCAGGATACTGAGGACGGTTACCACGCCTTGTCAGGAAAAAAAAAAAAAAAAAAAAAAAAAGCTTCAGCCTACAATGCTGCAACTAACGAGGTTGGAAAAAAAGAAGAAGAAAGAAAGAAGGGAAAAAAGGAAGGAAGTGACGGGATCTGAAGCACCGGGGTGGGACCATCCACGTTTAGGTGCAGCTGAAGAGGCTGGATTTATACCTGACCAGCTTGGAGGGTTGGAACTTGGAACTCACCAGGGTGGAACCACAGAGCAAACGGAAAACCAGCGTGGTCCACAGTACAAGGCTGGGACCATGCCTGTCCCAGCAGAGAGAGTGTTAAACAAAGCTCAGAGCAGCGGACCATGTGAGGTCCCAGGCACAGAACAAGACCAGATTTGGACCTGGTTCAGAGAGTAGACTAGTTCAGAGAGTAGACATTTCAAGCAGAGCTTGCAATAAGTAAGTATGTAAAAGGTGGCCAGATACTGGCCACACATTATATTCTTGTATATTTTTGTTGTGATTCATTCTTGTATTCATCTTTTAATATTTTTATGTAGATCTTCTTTATGCTGATTAATAGTGATTATAGATTATTGATAGTATAGATAGACATACCTGTTTAGTATGAAAACCTTTTCAATTAGAACTCTTTTCTATTTCTATTATATTTCTATTAGAAATAGAAAAAGAGTTCATAAATAGAAATAGTCTATTTCTAATTTTCTATTACTATTAAATACTCACAGGCACAGAACAAGTCCAGAATTGGATGTGACATTTCAAGCAGAGCATGCAATAAGCTCATTAGAGCGGCGGACCTCATTCGGGTCACAGGCACAGAGCAGGTCCAGAATTGGAACCAGGTATGGAATGGAGCCTTTCTGGTTCAGTCTTGAAAGGCCAGATAGATACAATGGTCTTCATTTCGGGTCGGAAAGGCCCAGTGATTAGACCCTCATAGATCGCAATGGGCCCACAGAGGAAGCGTGACTGACTGGTTCGAAAGAGATCACAGGCCGAAGCAGCCACAAGGACTACAGGTCAGCAGGGGGGGGGGGGGGGGGGGGGGGGGGAGGAAGACATCTTGCACACCGGAGGGTCCATGTCGACCTAGCCAGACGTCATAAGCGATGGATGGAGACGTCATAAGCAGTGGATGGAAATAGCTTTTGACCCCACAGAATTCTTGCCCGACTGATGGCTGACTGGTCCGCTGACGGAGACTGGCTTCTCCACGCGTGCGCATGAACAGATATCACCGCTCATGCTGTATGAAGGTCGTGCTCTGCTGGCGCAGTCACTGATGCCCAAAAAATATCGTCCAGACTTCAATGACTTCGGCCTGAGGGCATACAAACACTAAGCACTTTTTCATCTTGTCTCGTGATGGCGGTCAGATGCATCCCGTCCTCTCTGTAATTGCGGGGTCAGATACATTTGGGAAAATGCTACGGTAGTGCGAGTATGCCCTGACTCGTGCTTTCCCCCTGGCTCAGTCACTGATGCCCAAAAACCTCGGCCAGACAAGTAATCACTTAGGGCTCCGTCTCTACCATAAGGACCTGATGCGCTTGAATGGTGCATATAGCCTCAACTGATAATAGATAACTTAAAATAAGTCGTGAGTTCAAACCCTCGTGCAAAGACCAACATGATGAATGGAATACCCTTCTCAAAAGAATAGAGGGGGGGGGGGGGGAGGGGAGGAACAAAGGAGGGGCATGAAAACCAAAAACTTGTGCAGTAGTGCGCATTCAGCCATGGCTGGGAAGAGGTGGATATCCAGGGGCTAACCCATTTCATTTTGTATCAAATAGGGATGATTCCAAAAAAGATTTAAGAGTTTCCTATTCTTGGAATTAATACTAAAAAGGCTAAAAGCGTTAATGTGAAAATGAGACTAACAGAATAACAAACTACTCGTGCAGTCCATCCTCTCCTCCGTATGGCTATGGTGCTTCTGCTCTTCCAAACAGCGCTTTGACGCCTATTACCCCAGCAAGCTAAGGACACAAGATTTCTCTAAGTCTTTCTGGCAGGTGTCGCTCTCCACCAATAGATGGAGCCTCCCTGGGAGTGCAAAAAAAGTCTTCCTGACACCTCTACTGCCATCTCTCTTCATTATGGCCCATAAATCCAGGGCGGAAAATCGTTTTTTTTTTTTTTTTTTTTTTTTTTTTTTGTTTGTTTGCGTGTTTGCGAAAAGAAATCGCGTATGGTGG